AGAAATGATATCACTTCCGATAAACAAAAACGGCGTAGAGTGCCACGTGCCAAATTAGTTGAATCATGTTTTCAGTTTTGGCGAGTCTAAGAGAGGCGTTTATTACAATTTATTTTTGATCATAGATTATTCCTTTCCGTACCGCCTTATCACCAGACGAAAGTTTAGCTTCATACCAGTTATTTGCAGCCCTTTGCGAAGTCTTCATTGATACCGAGCACGCTGAATTACCGTCACCTAAGAGGTGAGTATATTGATTTGTGTACTTGAAGAGTGGTCATTAGCCGTGGTAGCCATGAAAAAGGCTAATTGATATGTCTCTGCATATCTCTAAACCCTATAAGAAAACTTTCACAATATTTACTGTGACTCCTGGTTATCAACAGGGCATAAGCTCTAAGGAAGTCAATTAAGTAGAACAATAAACTTTACAGCATAAAATCCATCGTGGTAGAATGATAATGGCGTGGTAGAATGATAATGGCGTAGTTAAAAGAGCATTTAATGCTAATCAATAGCTATATATAACGAAATACTTTATGCATCTAAGAAGGTGTATATATAGCAATGTTTTGTTTGTAAAAATTTAAAAACTAGCAGGATGAAATTTAAGCCATGGAACGTGTGGTCAAAAAATTTGTTGATATGGTAATATATCATAGACATAATAAAATTTAAGTGAAAGAACATACGCTTGAAAGATTTTGTTATATGGTAATAAATCACAGACAAAACAAAATCTAAGCGAGTGAACATACGCATAATAGTTCCTAGGGTTAAATTTTGTAAGCTAAAACAGAACGAGCCGATTTGCAACGAAAAGGGGTAGGTGGTGAGAATGGCTACAATGTCTACTTTACGAAAGTGATATTGCTCCTTTTAACTAATTATCGCAGAATTGCGAGGAAGTGAGCAATGTAAAGAATAAAAATTTTTACTGGTGGATTTTTAACATTTTATTGACACAATGGATCAACCCTGTGTCGAATCACTTTATTTCGTTAATGAATTTATGTTGGCTCCGGCAGTAATGGATTTCAGTGGCGTTTCTTTCTTCTTCGAAGACTTTTGATCATCGCTTCATTTTTCTTTTTTTTATTTAAAAACAGAACGAGGCTAAGGTTTTGCAGTCACGCTTTCTTGAGACATTCAATTGCAAGTTGTCCTTAAGTACCACGCCAGTCACGCGATATTCTTGAAAGAATCACTGTTCGACCCAGGGATGGCGTTGTGGACTTTGACCAAGCGGAATTAACTTACTTGTCGATCTCTCGCTATAGTGGTACGGAAGCAGCCCCTAGAAATTCAAGTTGTGACGAAAATGGGTTCTTCGATGGAATTCCTACCTGTGAAGCATATCTTAACAATCAATAAAGACAAAGGACATATCTAGTTGATAAGTAACGACAAGTAAATTTTTACAATGCTTTGACAAAGCTTTGCAAAATAACTGGTCTGGAGTCCTAAAAGGAATGAAGGAAGGTTCCTCGTTATTAACCCTTTAACTCCCAAGATCTCATTAGTAATTCTCCTTACTGTCTGTCATACAGTTCTTGTGATGTTAGTTTGGAGAATTTGATATTGGATCAACTCTTAATCCCCTAATTGATATATATATGTTATTCGCCAACTGGGAGGTCCTTATTGGGGAAAACGGTACTCAAGACAGAGGTTTTATTTTTTTTTGCTTAAACTTAACGAAATTCTTTCCAAAAGAACCCGAATGATTTAGGGCTGTAATTACAGCAAGATCCTCCATATAAACTGAATAATTTTGAGCGAGTAAATGGTAGTTAAAATAGAGGTGATGAAAATTAAAGAGAGAGGCTTCACAGAAACATTTTCATTTGCGTAATGATAAAGGTGATTTAAAAGGCTTCCAAACAAACTTTGAAACATCATTTTTACAAGTATCTGTCACAATCTGACACCTGTAAATCAGAGAGCGCGTAAGAAAAAAAAAAGCGCATGTACACTTTTAAAAAAACAAAACAGTCAATAATCTTATGGAAATATTATTCACTCTCGTCGACGATTAATTCATGTACGAAGATTTACTTGCTTGCTACAATGGCGTGTGTAAATCTGGTCCTTCCTCCACAAAAACTAAATTCGAATGAGATATTTCAGTGAGACACGAGGATTTAATGCGGCTTTTCCTCATAGAATTACTTCAGTTTCTGTTGTGCAATTTACGGTACCAAGCAGATATGTTATAAGGAAGGAAGGTACATTATTATTGATGTAGAAGTCGGTTAGTTAATCTTTACCATCTGTAATATTTATGCTCCCAACAAAGACGACCTATTTTCTTTCAAAATGTACGTGAACAAATGATAATATTTAGTTGTGAGGAAATTATTCTTGGGGGAGATTTTAATCTTGTTAGGGATGCCACGAAGGACAAAAAGGGTGGGAAATTAACGACACACCGAAATTCCGAAAGTGATTCAAAATACTCGAGATAATCTTAAACTGACCGATATCTTACAAATGACTCAGATATTCTGAGAGAGTGTAACTCTTTTTATAGAGATCTTTACACAAACAAAGTACCAAAATAACAGAACATTTGGAAAAACTTTTTTGACTATAAACACCACAAACTTAACAAAATGGATTAGAAAAAAATGTGAGGGTCTCTTAACTGAAAAAGAATGTCTAGAAGCTGTCAAGTCAATGGAGTCCGGTAAATCGCCTGGTACAGACGGTCTCCCTACCGAATTTTATAAAGTTTTCTGGAGAGATGTATCACCTTTTCTTATAAGTTCCTTTAATAAAAGCTATCAAAAAGGAAAACTAGCCATAACTTAGAGGAGGGGTATCATTTCTTTGATCCCGAAAAAAGACAAAGCATTAAACGAATTGAAGAATCGGAGGCCCATAACCCTACTTATCTACGATTACAAAATTGCATCAAAGCGATCGCTTCTCGTCTCAAGTTTGTGTTGTCGGATCTTATAGATCACGATCAGACCGGTTTTCTGAAAGGCCGTTCTATTCCATAAAGTATTTGTTTGGTCAATAATGTTATTTCCTATACCCACTTGAAAGATATTCCTGGATTACTCCTGCTCATCGACTTCGAAAAAGTATTTGATACTAACGCTGGAGCATTTTGGTTTTGGTTCCTCTTTAATTAACTGGCTAATTTATTTTACTCCAATGTCCAAAGCTGCAAAATAAATAATGGATGGTCGGGGAGTTTCTTTAGCTTAGGTAGAGGTGTAAGGCAGGGCTGCCCGCTCTCGCCTTACCTATTTGTTCTCTGTGTCGAGGTGTTAGCTACAGCTATTCGTGGAGACAATGAGATAAAATGAATCTCTGTAGGAAATGTCGAGTGTAAATTAAGTCAGTGTGCGGACGACACCACGATGATATTGGATGGTTCACAAGCGTCACTTGAGAGGTCTTTTGCTTTTTTAGACAGTTTCGGCCAACTGTCTGGCCTGCGAGCTAACTGTGGAAAAACTAAAGTTCTCTTGATAGGATCAAAGAAAGGGTCAAATCAAATTATGTGCCCACAAAAAAACTTGAAATAGGCGGATGGTAAAGTCAAGGCCTTAGGTGTTTGGTTTTGTACGGACCAAAATGAAGAAATGAAAATGAACTATGTAGATAAGGTTCACAAAGATGAAAATGTTCTTAACAATTGGCAAAACAAGAGATTAACGCTTCCTGGAAAGATTACAATTATAAAGATGTTGGCTGCATCCCAATTGATCTACATGTTGCCCTCATTACGTACATGTTTTAAATTGTTTAAAGAAATAAATGGTTTGCTTTTCAAATTTCTTTGGGATGGAAAAAGGGACAAAATCAAACGGTCTAAAATGATTGCTGACTAAGGCGATGGTGGTCAAAAAATTTTGGACATCATAGCATTCAGTAAGTCTTTAAAGATCGCGTGGATAGTAAAGTATATTTCTGATGATTGTAAATCCAAATGGAAAAATTTTGAGGATTTCTTTCTTTCAAAATGGGGAGGAAAATTAGTTTTTCTTGGGAACTTGGAAAAAAAGACGCTACGAAACATGATATCAAGGAGGACTTCCTCCGAAAATTTATCGACATCTGGGTGGACTTTAATTTTAGAGACTCTTTCCTCTCCAAACACGACTTTTGTAGTAGTAGTATAATATGGAATAACTCATTAGTCAGAATTGCTGATAGGCCTTTTTTTTTCTACAAGCATTGGGCAGAAGCTGGTGTACAAAATATCAAAGATCTTGTTAACGATGATTTTAAGGTCATAACTTATGGAGAGTTTAGAGAGAAATACTGCTTATCCGCCTCTTTCCTTGAATTTTATGGAGTAACCACGGCCATAAGGAGAGCTATGAAGTCTTTGAAATTGAAAACGCCAGATGGAAAGGATCAGGGGTTTTCGGTGCAAAAACAGATTGCAGCCACCAAGCCGACTAAATTAGCGCATTAAATTCTAATACAAAAAAATTGTTCTAGCCCCCGAAAGAGTCAAGAAAAATGGGTAAGGGACTGTGACCTTGAAGTGGTAAAATGTTGTAAAATAAATTTAAAAAAAAGAAAAAAAGGCCAGCCTGAAGTCCAAACTTTTAAAAATCAAGATCTAATTATAACACCATTGGTCGTAGGGTTCGTGACCTCAACACACCATTTAGGAAAGCGTACATGAATACAACTGCGTCCGATTTTAAGCGGTGCGTCATTTATGTAAAGAAACATGAAAACGGTCTTGTCATCCTAAATCAACGTCAAGATTGTACGAACTTGAGTCTCGCTCTTATCATTTCTTACGGCATCATAGGAATGCTGTCATTGACATGAAGGAAAAAATATACTGGATTACAAAGAGCGGAATATGGTCGGCATGCCAAAGATAAACCAGGGAAACAAACAAAGAAAAACCAAAAATACAAACAAACACCCGTTACATAATATGCGGCCAGGAAGTCTGGTACCTTTGGATTAAACCAGTGCTCCAAAAGCTGCAGTATTACCAAGAATATTGAGGCATCAAATCAATTGACCCAGCACCATGTTAGCTTTAATTTCTGATCTCAAAAGCGCCTTCTGACGCTAGTTTACAATTTACTTTCCCTTTATTTTTCTCGTTCACTTCTAATGTCTAAAAACAAGGCGAAATCTTCTTGAGGCATCAGTTACGTCTGTGGCTGCGAGTGGGGCACTGATACTGGGTTAAGTGTAATAACAGTAGTGAACTTTTATATTACGGTGTGAATCCAACTCAGCGTTGATCGGTCCGTGTATGGCGGCATTCGGTTTGTGATCTTCGGTGTCCCAGTAAAAATACGCTGATCTGTGTCTCATTCCGACCACTTCCTGACAGAAGTGGGTGTTAGCCTTTATCAGCGCAAACGGTGAGCCAGTTGGAAGGCGAATGGCTTCTGTGGCATCTCCATCCGTACGGCAACAGTATTCGATGCGAGTGTTATAGTTGTAATGACCTTCCGGAAGCGTGCCACCTCTTTCATTTCTGTTATCGTCATCTTCATCATCCCAACGAATGTATGCCTCCTCGAAATCTGTGCAGCAAAAATTTAGCGCAGCATTACGCTTGAATTGAATCATTTATTTTAGGGAAGATGTGAGTTACGACTTCTATAATTTATCATTTCACGATTACGTCATTTGAACACATCAGGGCAACGGAGTGCTAAAAGTATGCGACGGTTTTACATCGTAGAACAGGGAAAAAAACACGGGCAGAAAACGGAGCCAAAAAATGACCGCACTGAACGCTTCAACCTTTGATTTCTTTCGGGTTTTTCGGCTTGCCTTTTTAAGCAACGACTTAACTTTTAAACTTAAAAGATATTTTTGTTGGCAATAAAAATACTTGTGAAAATGGTTTCCGATTTGTTGTTTCTATGCGATCGATACGTTGTTGAGCTAAGGTCGTAAGAAGCATTTGTAAAACTAGAGGACTAGAAAATGAAATAATAGCGGAATAATAAATCCTTATTCGATGGTTTAACAGATAAAATACGTGGAAATTTTATTTATTGCTGTTCTTTCTTTGCCCCAACTCGCAAAATATCCACGTGTATTATATATTAAACCATCGAATAAGGTGCAAGAATAAGACTTCAAAGGCAAAAAATTCTGGTTGAAATCAATATTTTTCCTTCATAGGGGTAGGCCTTGTGCTTGATTGATTCAAGATCTGCATTTAAGGTATGAAAATACATGTAACGGCCGCAGACGGTTATGTTTTTGGAAAGAGTCGTACCAGAGGATTTAAGGCATGGATCTTGGCGGAAAAAGTAATCAATCACGGATAGCGGATATCGAAATTTTTGTTGACCGAATTAAAGATAAGCATGTTACATAATTTATACGGCTTGTGAGAAAAGAAGCTTCGCCATGCTCACCATAAAACAATTAGAAAAGTCCAAAATTTATTAACATTTTCATTAAAAAAGGACTTTTTAAACTAACCTGCAGGGCAATCTTCTTTTTTAAAGATACAATATTTTCCTTCAGGCCATGGCATATTATACCTGGATGTTCGAGACTTTGTCTTTATACAGAACTCTTGATTCATGTAACTTTTGCCAACACGTCCCGACAAATCGTAGGGGTTTGACCAATGATTGTTTGGGTCTTTATCTTCGGTGTCGTGGTATCGCCAGCCCGTGTGCCAAAAACCTCCATTTGGACATCCTGATTTTGCCATAGGAAGTCCGTATTTTCCCAGTGGCCAAGTAAGAGGAATGCGGATTATAGGATCTAAAAAAATTCCAAGAAACCTTTAATGCGACAACTCTTTAACATAGTTACAGAGTTGCACGTTATTTTAGACGAAGGAATACGCTCTTAATGACGTTGCTACCCGAGACTATGTTTCTTCACCGAAGCTGAAAAAATGCGTGCCTTCTTAAAGATATATTTGGAAAAAAGAGAGAAAAAGTCTTTTGAACATGAAATTTAAGTCAACAAAGAAAAATGTTAACAAAAAAAAAACTAGGAAGTCAGTTCAACGATTCTTTTATGGTCCAAAAATAAACAGTAAAGCAAAGAAACGTCAATTGTTTCGTCAATATTAGTCAATCAGTTGAAAGTTTTTCATATCACAATATGACTATTTGTTCGAAAATCTTTCAAAAGTACCACGTCAGCACTTTTCAGATTTCAAACCTAACTATCTCAATAAAATAAGTGGTTACACCAAGATTCTTTTGGAATTTTGCAAGCTCAAGACCAAATTTATTTCATTAACATGGTCATTAGCCAGGAAAAATTAGATCCCCATCATCAGAAGATGATGAAGAGGGTTAATGAGGATCTTAACGAATATCATTCAAGAATATACCAAGATAGCTGTTACTGATTGGTAGCGCTGAAGAAGACTTTAAGTGGCAATTGTGCCAACCAAAACAAATTAACATAAATGTTTCAAGTTGTACAAATAGTGGCGCACACATAGCTTTAAAATAGGAATCTATATGTGATGATACCTTGAGGATATGTTTTAGCTCCTTCTAAGACTGGGTATTCTTCCAAAATCTTTATCACGTTCAATCTCCGTTGTGCCAAATTCTGACATTTGTATTTCTTACTAAGTGCCTTGAAGAAGCTGTCGTCAAATGCCTGGTCAATAGAAATCAACCTCATTCCAATGGGCTCAGGGTTGTTACTTGTACCACACTGAAACATAACTTTGTCACTTCCAAATGAAATGCCAGTTGTCATGGACGCCGTGAACCTTTTAGAGTCAACGGAGAGAGAGCTACGGTACTCGCTAGACACAGACATAGACACCGCAGTTTTCACCTATGGGAAAGAAACAAAAAAGTCAGAGCAAAGACACACAACATAGTCGACGTAGTAGGTTTTCATGTTTTTCTTTCGATTTCGTTACAGTCTGTAACGATTTATCGGTAATTGTTCACACCATATGTATTTGTTTTACGCAGCTAATACAAATTGTCGTCAAAAGGCATCATGGAATCAAAGAAGTGAGTAGTAACTCATGTTTCAAATTTCCGTTGAGTTATCGGTGCACAGCTCAACGTCAAATGTTCCAAGGAGCTTCTATAGACCAAAACCTGCAGGTTATTGGCTAATTTATTCTCGTTATCGGAATGGCTCTTTGGAGCATAATGGTAAGTTGGCACTCACCAAGGAGTTGGAACCAAATGAAGTGCGACTTTGCCTTAAGGGCAATTAAACAAGAACAGTTGAACGCCGAGCAACAAAATCTATTTCATACTGTTGCTTAGTAGAAATTTCAGTGAGCGCAGAAACTCACATGTTTCATCGCATACTTGAAGAAATCAGCATACGAACTCTTGTAGCGTTCAATCTTCTTGGTTCCAAGTTCCACCTCGCTGACAATATGCTGTAAGGAAAATAATAAAATTCATACAAAAAGATACATTCGCTCTCCAGAATGTAGTTTAGTTTAAATTATTCTACAGGCGGGTTCCAATAGATAAATTGAAAAGTATCTCATTGACTCAGTTACCTTACTACTGTACTGTTTACTTCATTTAAATTCTAGGACGAAACACGCTATAATGTAATTAAAAGTGTCTTGATGGAAACCTTGAACCTATTATTATCAATATCATCAAAATTATCATCTCTATTAGAAGCACCTTTATGAAAAAATTGGGTTTTCACGTATGGCTGTTAAACAACCCACATTTGATAACCAAGAGAACTGGGTTCTGGTGCATCGGTACATCATGTAAACAAGGTCAACTTGACATGTATTAAGGAAAATGTATTCTTGGTATCCAACAAATAATCAATAACTTTCTATACACATAACTTTGTTTGAAAGTTTATGAAAAATTGAGATGAGTTTATCTTGAGTATATTTCAACCAAAAATTCAGAAACATAAATGTACCTCAACACATCCACATTATTGCAACCAATCAGTTTCCTGTTTGAATGTGTAGTGTGGAACGGCAAGCCTGTTCGCTAACAGAAACCAAAGATTCTTACGAATCCCCCATTGGGGAAGGGGGGAGTGCCGCTTAGAAGGTTAGTACCAAACAGCGAGAAATGAAGGTAATTTGGTATTATCAAGTGAGTTGATATTGTGAATTGGCCTCCGTAAAGAGTTTCAAAGCTGGTGTTACTCTCTTTGGAAACTTAACCCCTTTATAAGTGGAAAAAAATGAAAATTATAATACTTAAATTAAAAAGGCAAAAACACATGAAATAAAAAAAAAACAGATCACTGTAGCGCAAACATTATCTTTAGTCAGCTGCAGAACATTGAAAACTGCTTTTCTAATTGTTACATTTTTGTTATTGTAGACGGATTTATCCTTTCAGCCAAACAAAAGGATAACATGCATGCAAAGAATGTGCCAAAAAATTGTGAGGTTAATTTAAGACACCTACACAACTTAAATCAATGTAATTATACATCGTCAAGAGGTTCAAAAAAGAAAGGGAAACTCAGATATTTTGCAATTTCAGGGGACAATATATAGATATAGATAACTCAAAAATTTTCAAACACGTATTCTTCATTGACACACTGGCCATGGTAAAAACCTGGCCAAATCCTTTCAAATTAAAAGTTAATGAGGTAACAAAGTTAATTCAGAAACCAACCGTCCCCCAATCCTTTATAAATCTGTGGTAAGCCATCCGGTCATATATTTGTGGTAAGTTACAGACAGCAGCAGCAAATTCATTGGTGATGGGGAAACGTTCCGATTTAACAAGGTCCATTTGGTATCGTGCTTTTCCAAGATTATGTACAGTTTTCTCCTCGTAAAAGACATTTTCTGCATGTAATGTTTGGTAAGAAACCTTCTGATACACTGCAATAATTCAGGGCAAAAGAAGAATAAAACGAATCAATTAATCAGTCCATCATAGAATTCTGAACAATCAACATATCAGTCAATCAACAGTCAATCAGTCAGTCAGCGATCCAGTCATCCAGCCATGTAGCCATCCTTCCAGACTCCCACCTATTTGGCTATCTCGCCATCCATCCAGCCTTCCAGGCATCCAGCTAGCCATCATTCAGCCAGCCAACTATCCAGCTAGCCATCATTTAGCCAGCCAGCCATCCAGCCATCTACCCTTCCAACGTTCCACCCATTCAGCCTTTCAGCTTCCAGCCGTCAAGATATCCAGTCTTCCAGCCTTCAAGCTTCCAGCCATCCAGATATCCAGCCTTCCAGCCTTCCAGCTATCAAGAAATCCAGCCATCCATCATTCATCCAGCCTTCCAGCCAGCCATTATTCATCCGGCCAGGCGTCCATGATGATTCATTTTCACCTCGGTTTTTACACGATGCGCGACTAGTTTAATGGCAATAGGACTGAGTTGAGTCCAATTCTGTCCGTAATTATTCGAGCGATTGATAAAGTTGGACGACTATACAGGGGAAGTCCGATTTTTAAATTTCGAGTATGATTATAGACAGAATCGGACAACGAAAAGCCCAGCTGTTACCATTTAATCATAACCACTTCAATTTCCGAAGAAATAAAACAAGAAACCGTGGAAGTGAGTCAAAATTGACAATGGCGAAAACATCTCCAAAAGAAACATTGTTTAGAGTCAAAATTCCAACAGCTTTGGAAACTCCCCAATTTTGTTGGGAAGTGGTTGAATGTTACTATGGTTACTTTATCAATTCTGTGATTGGTGGATTTAACTGAGTGGACTTAAAGTATGACTGGCTTCTTTAACTGTTCAATTATAGCCAACTGTCAGATTACATTGTCCGATTACAATTCTGCAGAATAATAAGTGAAAAATAAAGTAGGTGAAGCATCAATCATATTTGAGGAAATTGTAATGGTTATGAGCAAAAATTAAATTGTGACTTGTGAATTAAACACAAAGGAGAGCGCGCAGTTGATGATTCTATGAACCAGCATCAGGTGTGATTTCCCTTCTTATATATACAACCTTCTTATTTTTAAATTTTTTTTTGTTTTTCATTTTCATCTGTCATTTTCAACTTAAGATTTCCATGGAACCTCGCACATGAAAGGAGAGAAAGGGTGATCGATAACCAGGTTAGCAGTTGACAAGACTAATCAATAATGTCTTTTCTTACTTGTATTGAGGCTGAATGCAAATTTCCATAATACATAGTTCACACCACCTACCGAGAGAATATACAAAAATATAGAAAATGTTTTATTAGAATTACACAAACAGGTGGGTGAAATTTTCCGTGATGAGAACTGACTGAGTTACCAGGCTATAGTCTCAGTTCGAATTGTCGTTGTGGTAACCAAACCCCTCTCTATAGGAACAAGGTCTCTTGGATTAGGAATAATTGAGTGTGGAAAATAATACATACACATATAACTGCTAGTGCTGTCATGCTAAAAACTCCCACCATTTTTTCAAAAGCAAAAGTAACACGAGTCGCAACACAAAAAATACATTTTAGGGGTAGTTTTGCACAATCAAAAAGTGAACAAGTGTCGCAATCCCTCCAATAATATCACATAAAAATCTCATAAAAAAAGTAAACAAGACTCGCAAATCAAATCAAAATTTTTCTCTTTAAAAAGTGAACAAGCCTCGAAAAATGCATTTGGTGGGGGTTGCTTCGGCACAATGGCATAAAATTGAGTATAATTTGCACCAGTCATAACGCAAATAATGATAAGAAGTATGTGAGGCTGTATTTCAATTTGGCACAATCGCGTGAAAATGAGCATAATTTCAACCAGTCACAAAGGCGCTGGCGGTAACGACGATCAGTGGTGATAATTTTAGACTTATCCCACTATACAGTTGGTTATGCACGTGTGCTCCGAAAACGTTGAACTTTCTTTATTGCAAAATAACACCGCTTCCTGATGCTCTTTCAAAGATGTACCAAACTGAAGTTTGATTTGTCCGATATACTCGTGATCAAAGTCACTGCATGGAATATAATAAATAGCGTTCATTGTTCTTTCGTGACAGGATCCTTAAGTTTGGCAAAAATATGCCCTAAAGTTTGAAAAGGTCTTTGAGCAACTTTATTGTTGTTGCCATTCAAAATTCTCTTGATGGGTTCCGTAACACCCTGAATGTAAGCAATAGCAACAAAACCAGTCGCAGGTTCCTTCTCATCAGGAGCGTTACTAGTTGTAACTGGTTTTTGGCAGTTACGGAGAAAAGTTTCGGTATGGCCATTTACCTTTAGGATATCAGGGACACATTTATTTCCTCAGCCTTCGAATTAAGTGAAGATGATAGATATTCAGCCCTCCTGAGTAAAGTTTTAGCTACATAATTTTTGTGGTAAAATTGGGTGTGGTGAGAGTCGAAAGCGAGGTATTTGTCGGTGTGGGTAGGTTTACGACACACACTCGTCTCTAAATTCCCCTTTTCCACTCTGCACAAATTTAGGTCAAGAAAGGGCAAATGTTTATCCTTTTGAAGCTTAAGAGTGAATTGGATAATTGGATAGACGGCTCCACTGAATTCAAATGCGATAGGAAGCGTTCCGCTTCATTTCCGGATACCGCGGAAATAGCATCAACGACATATCGTCTTTAGAAAAAGGGTTTAACCGGTGAAGTGGCTAAGGCCCTTTGTTCCACGTCTTCCATAACCATATTGACACTAACAACAGAGACGGGTGAACCCATAGCCGTACCAAAAACCTATTGATAGTAGGTGCCCTTGTATACAAATTGTGGGTTTTTGAGGCAAAAAGACAGCATATGAATAATATCCTCCACAGGCGAAGAAATTCTTTGTCCTAGGGAAGGGTCTTCTCTGAGTTTCTCCCCCGCAACTTTAACGGCAGGATCAACTAAGATTTTAGGGAAGAGTGAAAAAACGTCGAAAAATACCAATTCTTCACAGGCATTAAGAGTTTTATCTCTTATGAAATTTTTGACAGTGGAATAAATGTTCCCAACAACAGGCAACAAATTCTTGCAAGATAACCAGAAATTGCATAAGTTGGAGAATTAACAAAAGAGACGATAGGTCTCAATGGAATTCCCAGTTTATGAATTTAAGGTAAGCCATAAAAACGTGGGCATAAGCCATCATTATTGTATAGAATTTTGTATGTATAGTCACTAATCTCACCAGCTCTTTTCATATCAAGCAACATTTTGTTTAGCTTTCTTTAAGTTTTACTAGTAGGATCAGAGTTAAAGACTAATTACGTACTTTTGTCACTGAGCAGGGACAAAGCTTTGTCGTCATATTGCTGTTTGTCCATATCTACAACTCAATGGGAATCTTTGACGGCACAGAAGTATGCGAACTAGTCAGACTTTTCATCTTGAGCGACCTGGCAAACAAATACGGAACAAACAACATCGGACTCTAAAGGGACGACGGACTCGCCATTTTCAAGAACACAACAGGACCTCAAGCAGAAAGAACACGGAAAGAAATAACAAGGCGCTTGCAAGAACACAGACTGAAAAAAACAATCCAAAGCAACTTAAAATCAGTCGACTACCTCGATATCACGCTCAACTTGACGAGTGGTCTCTTCCAACCATACAGAAAACCTAACGACAAGGCGCTTTACATCAACTCAAAATCTAACCACCCACCCACTGTCATCAAACAAGTACCCACAGCCATCAATCGCAGATTATCAGCCTCATCATCTATCAAAGAAACATTCGACAAAGCCAATCCTCTTTACGACAAAGCCCTCAGATCAAGTGGATTCAACGCAAACCTTCACTACTACGAGAAAAACACAACCACACCCACGAAAAGAATTAGAAAACGAAACACCATCTGGTTTAACCCCCCAAACAGGAAAAATTTCCAAACCAACGTAGCTAAAACCTTCCTCAACCTAATCAAGAAAAACTTCCCACCAAACCACAATCTGCACGCGTCTTTAATAAGAACAACGTGAAAGTCAGTTACAGCTGCATGCCGAACATGGGCAGCATCATCAACAACCACAGCTAGAAAATCCTTACCAACAAAAACAGATGCAACTGTAGAAAAAAAGACCAATGCCCACTAGACAACAACTGCCTCATCACCAGTGTAATCTACAAAGCCAACGTGACCACAGACAAAGACAACACAAAAAAGAACTACATCGGACTAACTGAAGGAACATTCAAACAACGATATACGCAACATAAACTATCATTCCGTAACAGAAAATACGCTAACCGCACCGAACTAGTAAAACACATCTGGAAACTCAAGGACAACAATGAAAGCAACAAAATAATCTGGTCTATCAGAAAGCGCCTACATCCAAACGATGTAACTTCTGCCTAACTGAAGAACTCTACATTATTAAAGCCGACAAAGCAAGCAACCTTAACAAAAGAACTGAATTAATTTCCAAATCCCGCCCTGGGAACAAATACTCCCTAGTGAACATCGACACCAGATTACAATAGACTTGATAATTAACTAACTACTGTATATATTTAAACCAAGTGAGGTATACTCTCCATTAAAATCTGTCGGATGAACGCGTGTTTGTTTTAAACATAAAAATGTTTTAACATTATGTTTGTTTTATGAGTGGGCAACCACGAAACAGGCTTGTAGGGATGAACTTGTAGTTTATTTGTGTTTTTTCTCCCACTATATATATATATATATATAAATATATATTTGAGAGCATTTAATGGTGACCCAGTCAATCAAACAAACGGTTCCAACAAACGGTATGTTGATGCAAAAACAAACGATTTTTTTGCGAATTGATGGTTCGAGATCAGTGAATGCTGATCTGAACATAAGGTCAAAGAGTATCACAAATCTCAAAGATCCTCAATCAGACGAATGCACTCATACTGTTAATGTAAATTTTGTCGATAAGACGATCTCTGACAATAATGCAACCATCAAGACCTATTACAAGAAGTACGTTGATGGTGGATTAAATCATTCCAATCAAGTGTATGATGATGTTAACATGTTTCAATAAACTTTACTGACAAACTTTGCTGGTAATCCGTGACCTAAGAACAATAGCAATTACTTAGATTACTCATTTCCTCGGGAAAGTCCCTGTTATATCATCAACTTCCCGATCCGCTGACAGTGTCACGCAATGGAAAAATTGAAAGGCACGCTGAGACATGTTAAAACGTAATTTGGGTTGTGACTACTGAAAATTAATGCTTATTAAAATGGGATTGTGCCTAATTGAAATATAGCCTCACATTTCATATCATTATTTGCATTGTGACTGGTGAAAATTATGCTCATTTTTACGCGATTATGCCAAATTGAAATACAGCCTCACATACTTCTCATCATTATTTTCGCGATGACTAGTGAAATTTATGCTCATTTTTACGCGATTTTGCCAAAGTACCCCCACCAAATGCATTTTCGAGGCTTGTTAACCTCCTTTCAAAAGTCGATCTTCGTTGCAAACTGGACATAACCTTAAGCAATAATGCATAATCTCTTAATCTTTTCTACTCACCGTCGACTTTTACAACAGTCTTGAGTTTGTCTTGGTAGGATCTAGGTCCAAAAAAGACTTTTTGCACGATTTCTTCTACACGGGAGTTACGATCAGCAAAGGCAATCTGATCTGGCACCTTGTACTTCTTATCAACTGAGAGCTTTCCGTCATTCCACGTCAGTTTTAGAATTTTTCTGGTAGTTTTCAGCTCTGGGTCAATTCCGCCTTTTGAAAGATCACAGTCTGGATTTCCCCTCATTATATCATACCCGACACCGATAAAGTGAAGGCCTTTGAGTGTGTCGGGATGACCGTAGCTGGGATGACCATAGCCGGGGGTGAAGGCGATGCCAAAAGCGAAAATAAGGACGAAAAGATGCATGGTTACTCTTTGCCTTTTGATGCAATAATTACACTCGCACAATAGGTTCTTTGCAGGACTTGATCACGTGCTCGGATACCACATAGCAACGCTTTGCTGGGGAGCAGGTAAACTAGCGTCACGCTCCTTGTAGTGATCAACTTATGCGAAGCGAACTTTGACTTTTTGGTCGAAAGCCCCCCAAACATTTGTAGTATAAGGACACCAATCGAGAATTATTGTGACTTTGTTTCATTGAGCTTCAATTTCGTCTGATCTACTTTTGTTCTGGGAGTAAAAGACCGGCGAAAGCCCCAATACATGGCAGGGTCGGCCAGGGTTTTTGGGTATTCGGTATTCAGGGGTGTTTTAAATCGGGTATACGGTATATTGCAGCTTAAATACGGGTATTCAGTATATCACTTTCTTTGAATTTCAGGTATAAAGTATTCAAAGCTTCGATTATTTTGGGTATATTTGGAGGAATTTGGGGTATTTTGGGGTATTTTGTCGATTTTTTTTCGGGTATATTGGTATTCCACTACCCCCCCTGGCCGACCCTGACATGGCGAGATATTGCCGCTTATCCAAGACCGAGTGACGGTGAGTTACTTTGTTTTCTATTAATGACTATTTCCTGGGATTCCGTTATGTTAACTGAAAACGGTCGGTTCAGTCGTCTATTAGAAGACCTCAATCGCGTCAACTTAACTGGTTACGGTTAGAAAGGTTGGTTTCAATACAAGACCAAGTCGCATAGTGTAATTGAACTTATCTGTAAAGTTGGTCAATTTTAATATCTAACTTGTTTTTCCAATTTATTCTTGTATATCTGATTTAGTACGTCTTTGCCTATCAAGCTGGCAAATTGTCTTTTCATATTTGCATTCCAAAAATTAGCTTTTGGTGCTATTTTACAGGAGATTTTTTCAGTTTCAATTTAATGAGAATAATTCTTTCAAGTAGAATAATTGCCAGTCTCCATAAAAGGTAACTTACGCATTAGAATCTGTTAAGAACTCCTTTGTATGTGAGAGAGCCTGAGTTCGATGACAAGAAGTTTGTTTTCGTCATGTGTAAAGTATTTCTACTAATGCACTGGATTATCACATACGTTCACGTGACATAGATGTTAAGAAATTAGCTCAGATGGAGCTACAAAACTTGAACACACCTGTCCCAAAGGATAAAGCAATAAAAGTCAGAGTGGCTGCTTGTTTGTCGTCTTCCTTTGTCATAATATTCGTGATGTAAAGGTGTCCCTTTTCATGATAGATATAAACTTTTCACTAACTTCCAATTTATTAACTTATCCATTTATTTCTCCTAAGTCATTTATTCTTCCATGTAAGTAATTGCAAAGTGTGTTAGAGAAAATCTAATTTAGTAGTATGATAATTTAGTTGTCCATTATATGTGCAAAATTCTTCCGTGTAACAGTGAAAACATTTAGGAGAACTAATGTGTTATACTACCGTTTCAACAAATTTAGGGCGACATTTTTTCCACTGTCTGAGTACGTCACATTTACATCGTACGATCACACTTACAGAAAATAGCAGATAAGGAGAAACCCCCTTGGTTCACCTCCTGGTTCCGGTTACACTCGCGACATCGTCGAGGATGCCATTCGGACATTAAAGGAAAAGCTCAAGGAATACTGACTTTTATATTGTTGGAATACACTGAGGATCAAGGTGAATGGTTTTCGTGTTGATAAGAAAATGAGCACAATTACGTGCATTCCTTTGTGAGATTGCTGCCAAGAGATGTTGTAGACTCTGATCGCATGATGAAGGCGTATTTCAGGAAAGCAGTAGCAAGAAGACACAAAGAGTCAAGTCCATGTGGGTTCCGTGACATTTAACCATAATATATAGATTTAGCCAAGCCTAAAAGTGGAGCTCTTATTAGTTTATTTTCCAGCCCTACATTAAAATAAAAACTGCTATAAAACTCCTCAGCACTGGCCGTAGAAGAGTTTCTTCAAGGGGATTTAGGGACCAGTCCAGGGAGTCGGGAGGGGGCAGAAATTGACGAGGTCTGGAGCCTGGGGACGATGTTCTCACAACTTTCAAAGCGATCGACACGCATGCGGGTCAGCGGTATCTTAAGGCAGCTGAGGGCCTTCGTTGTTGTTCCTGATGTTTTGTGCAAATTTTCGAAGATAGGGAATGTTTTCTTCTTCATATGAAGTGTATGATGTCAGCATCAGTTGAAATTATAATCTATTGAGCGTGACTGATAATTTAAGTTTGGGGAAAATGGGCCAAAATTGAAAGAAACGACGGTAAACTACTTTGCGTGTAAATTCATCACCGTTCGATTGAAGAGGTATCCGCCACTTTCGCCCCTATCTAGTTCACCCATACCTTATCCCGTGTTCGCCCCCACACTTTTCAAGTTCGACCCCACCAAGTTCGAGTTCTACGATGCTTTTCCTGCTACGTTTCCTGAGCCTCATGCATTTGATAAGTCGTCGCTAATGGAGCCTTCAGCAACAGGTTCTGGACCAGCCATCTTCGAGATCGAGTTTGAGATAGTGGAAGATTCCATAAAGCGGGGCCGAAATAAGCTGGTGGACAGCCGTGGTTACGCTTATAGCGTTAAAAGACGTCGAGGTGGAAACACTGATTGGCAGTGCACTGTTTGACCAAAGGTATAGTTCTACATTCATTTCTTTCACAATCACCCGGGGCAAGTGGGCGCAGGCTTAGCAGCCCGGATTACTGCAAAGGCGAAAAAGCAAGCTGTCGCGAATTTGTTTAAGCCGGCGTCTGCAATTGCAATTCACTGAAGAGGAATACAGAAGAGTATACACATGAGAACAGTAAGTCATTTAAACAATACGCTAGAATCGTATGGGCTTCTCTTATATCTTCTCTTGAAGTTGCTAGGTGTGACTGCTTGCCCCACTGTGTTTCCCTAACGTGACAACCTCTTCTATTTAGCGTAGAAAATTAAAAAGAAAATTAATTTTCAACTCGTGTTTAAACCTGTAATTTCTTAAATTTTAACTTTTTCTTTTTTGGCTATCTTCAAAGTTTGTTTCACGATCGTCCTCTGGCTGGAAATACACGGCGTCTTTTTGAGATTTTTCTGTTATTTAATTTGGCAACCTCTGCTGTAACTGCATATAATGGAGGTGTCTTTAAGCCAACTGTTCATGATCTTGGCAACTCTGGCTAATGAAATACGAAATTTATCTAACATGTTTCTTGTCCTGCCAAAGTTTGCTTTAAAGGAAGACAAGCTAGATCTAGATTATCATAATTAAAACTTGATGACGAAGAGAGGCTTAAGATTCGACCATGAAGGCATTTGTAGAAAACTTGAGATAATACCTGGATTTCATTTTTACATCACAGAAATCAATTCCAAACATGAACTAAGTTTTCGATTTAGTTTAAAAGTTGAGTTGATGTTGTTATTGGCTGTATTAAATAGGTTGAACAATTTTAGTTGGTATTTTCTCATGTTTGCAAATAATTTAATTTACTGGAAGGTGGAGTTGTTGCAACATGTTAACATGAAACACATCCATAAATTTTATTGATATGTAAAAAGTTTTTATTTGACTATCTACTAGCAAGTCTTTGTATTATATTTCAACCCAACTATTTTCCACATCTTGTAAACACAATTACAAAATAATTAGTCAAGGAAATTGAAAATTTAAAAATAAATGTAATGTATCCACCACAACAAACTCAAAAGGGATGTTAAGAAGTGGAGGCATTGTGCAGCCTTTCCTTGCAGCCGTGGTGGAGTGCTGGCACAACCAAGTGCACTCTGATAGCTTTCTCTCAATTGGCCAGTCATCAACTGGAAAAAGATCACATAATATAATATATTTCTATTATTGACTTGCTTGTTGTTGGCTCTGTGATGATGAAGATGAATTTAAAATACAAAATTTCAAGAAGAAATTCTCCCTACTTACTATCAAGGTTGTTAATTTGGTCCTTGCAGCAATAACACCAAATACAAAAGTATTTCGAGCTAGCTCCATTTAGTCCATAAACAAGGGCCAAAAACTTCCAGTCAGAGCAACAATACCTGTTAATAAACAAATTATTAAACATGAATTAACCAGTAATCACCTTTAAGGTCATTAGTTGTTAGCATCTCTGCACTTACCATTGTACAATGCCAGAGTATACTGGTATTCATATGTTGTTTTATTTTCACACAGAATGTTGAACACAGCCATTACTGTGCCAATCCTTTTGCTTGTCCTCCTCCCATCAGCTGCAAATCTAAGTTTAATTTTTGATCCATCTTTTTTTATGGCATCCTTAACTTCTGGTATTGCAATTAAATACTGCAAAACATCATGAACACTCCTCCAGGCACCACCAGCTTGTTTGGCCTGCATTTATTTAAAACCCCAAATAATTAATTATTCTGTAAATTATTATGCTTGCCACAGTCACATTACAAATTGAACACAACAAATCAAAATAAACTTAAATAGTACTGGTGCATAGTGTCACTTATGATACCCGGAAATCATCCTAGGTCGAATATGTGGCCATGATTTTGCCAACAAGCATGGGTGGGAAACTGTCAAAAACACTGCTAAACTTTTGGATGCTTTTCATCACCATCTCCACCCTCACCTCAACTTTTGATGATGATGATAAGGTTTGCTCAGCAAATGCCAATAGATGGGATATGAATGGTCGTGTTCTCTAAAACTTAATTTACCTCCGGGATTTGAATTATTTTGATTTCCTTTTTTTTTGGACCTCCTTTCCTGTTTGAAAGCGGACAGTGGCGGGACGTGACTTCGAACTTTCTCAAGGAGCGCCATCCTCAGTTCGTGGTATGCTTTGTCACTTACAGGTCCTTCATCCTTCGCTGCCAACATCCTTTGTACGACCTCGTGAGCGTAGCCCTCATCGTCATCGCCGTCATGTTGGTAGTCAGATAGTGGGATCACTAATTCACGGCCGCTTACATCAAATTTAATCTGTGTGCAAAAAAGAAACAAAGAGCATCTAAATAATTACGCCAGAGAGTAAGAGATGTCTGCACGAGTAAAATCAGGTAAACTACGTTAATAACCAAAAAAATCGCAAAATAAATGATTCTCTGAGGTCGGCCAAAAGAAAAGAGATGCGGCGATGAGGTTTAAATGTTAGTAACATGTGCACGACAGCACAACTGCGACTACGTGCAATGCCGCCATGTTTTCAGCCATTTTTTTCTCTACTGTTTCATCTGAAAGCCCGCTGAAAGTTATCGATATACCGTGGGCACACTTCATACGTCACCCTTTCAGCTTGTACAGCGATGGCATCATATCAGCTTCTTCATGAAAACTATTAGCGGCAAAGCGAATCGAAAGCAAAGAAAATTTTATTTGAGGTTTAAATTAACAGCGTTTTTTTTTTTAAATCAGAAGTCGATAATTGCACTAAACTCTGGCAAAATAATAGTAACCATACTGTTTTGTCTTCACCTTATATCGCCTGCATAAAAATTTTATTTCAGACGCTCTCACAAAGATTCTTTGCTGATAGCGTGAAAGGAATAAACAGCGACAGGTGAATATAATACTGAGTAATTATCAAGGAAATTTCGCAATGATACGTACCTCGATTGGTTTAAATTCTGCTGGTAAAATCTTTGCAGCATTTCGGAGGTAGTCTCCGATTTTTTTCCTCTTCAAAGACCGCGCAGCCCTGTCCACGTCCCAATAGCTTTTGCGGCTGATGTTAAATTTGACGGTGTTCTTTTTTTGGGAAACTTCGTGTCTTAGAAACTGAAGTTCCTGGCGAAGCTGGAAAACTTCAGCTCTTCTCTTTGCCAATTCCTTCGCCTGGCCATTAATGATCTTAACATGTTCCACTTTTTCAGCTCTTAGCTGCTCATTCTCAGCGCGCAGATGGCGAATACGCTGGTCGTACGCCTCAAGGAGTGGCAAAGAGATGGCAGACTGCTCTACCTCAAATGGCTCGGTTCACGTCTGTAGAGGGCGTTTGGCGCCTTCTCTATCTTAAACTTGGAAAACATTTTCGACGATCTCTATTGATGACACGAGCGAAATGATTGTTGTCAAGTGACAATAGCGAAATGATCGTTGTCAAGTGCACGCGTCTCTATAACCATTTAAAGGGGTAAGTTTCTAAAGAAACTGTGGTGCTGCGTCGGTGGGAGAGTATAGCAGGTAATTTAGTGTTAACAACTGGGTTGAAAACGTAAATTAGCGTTAACAACTGGGTTGAAAACGTAAATTATCGCTCTGACGAAGGGCTAACGCTCGAAACGTCAGCTTTTTTACCCTTTACGGTGGCTAATTTACGTTTTCAACCCAGTTGTTAACACTAAATTACCTGCTATAACCATTTACTCCATTAGCATGAAAACAAGAAAACAATGGTGTCAACTGAGCACGAATTTCAAAGACGCTTAGCTGCGCTCAAAACATGTTATAGGCCGGTAACTTAACCTTTGACGATTAAGAGACAAAGACGAGAAAACAATACACAACTGACCACGAAAGCTTTGCAAGTTATGAATAGTCTAGTGGAACTAACGCACTGAAAGTGTTTCGTAACTGAATTCCCCAAGAACCCTGTTACAATTTCTTAGATTGACTAATTATAATCTGCAATATGTTTGCGAAGAGTTAAAATCGATTAGTTTGAATTGGGGGAGTAACATTAGTAATAGCGCAACAATTGTGTTTTTAAATAACACCAAAGACGCTTTTGTTTTCTTACACTTGTAAGAAATTCAATAATTTTATCATAAGAATTTAACCCTCCCAACAGGTTACTGATATTTCGAACATAATTGATAGTAGCGGCAGTTCTTCGCTGCAGGTAGGCTACTTTCCCCGCAGCGGGTTTATCAGCTGGCCCTATTGCGAAGCATTAAACAGACCAGAAAAAAGGCTTATTACTTCGCTTCACTTTTGAGTTTATTTTCCGATGACTAGGTTTTGCTTGTAGTTGTATTGCGCTTTTCCATTTGTATTTAAAAAAATACAAACCCTAGCTCTTTAAGCGTGCTTCTGAACGTTGACATTCGCCGGTTTGCGCGAAGAAAAGAAATAACTTCTACAGCCCGCGCTTCATGTAACAAAGTTTCCCTTCCGTACTCCCGGTAAAAATTGTCTTTGTTCTGAGCGACATTCCCCTTACCCCACCCCGAGAATTGTGATATTGTCAACATCTGGTAGTCAACGAATATTTTGAATCTCGCGCTCGGAAATTGGCAAAGCGTCGGTTCTTTCAAACCTTTGTTCTAGAAACAATAGAGCCTCTAAGCTGTAAACAATTAAAATGCCCATAAAAGGAAGGTAATCCAGTGCCATTGTCTACTAAAAATTAAACACAAAGTTTGATATGAAGTTTCCCTCCCTTTAAACTAATTTCTCAGTAACAATTGAATTACTGTCATGACATAGATGGATATTGTTCATTTTAAGAAAGCAGCATCCAGCAAACAGTAACGCTCCAGCGCAACGTATGAAGTGCTTCGAAAAGACCACAAAGCCCACATTGTCCAGATAAACACTCAACCCAAGCGATATGAACACGTTATCTTTTCAAAATCCATCAGTGTCGTCCGGTCCTGTTGCGCGTATTAAAGAGTCAATGACAGCTATCTTCTACAATTTTATTAGCAACCCGATAAATGATAACGTTTTTTAAAAAGTTGACTTTCTCATCCATAGCATCCGAAGGATAAAAAAGTAATTAAAAATTATTCACCGGCAATGAGGTGAATAACTATTTTTAATGTTAGCCACACAATACCAAAAAACTAGTTTACTTTTGTCAATATACCGAGAAATTGTTGGAAATCAAAACCTTATCCCCCCGATAAAATGGTCCAAAAAATGGTGCTAAAAAGGATCTAAAAAATGGTTAGAAAAATTGTCCGAAAATTGGTCCAAAAAATAGTCCAAAAAATAGTCCAATGATCCAAGGGTCCAATGGTCCAGTCCTTATTTTACCTACGCCACAGAAACTGTGGTGCTACGTCGGTGGGAGAGTATAACTGGCTAATTAAGTATCATCAACTGAGTTGATAACGTAAATTGGCCACCGTTAAGAATTTTAAAGCTGAGGTTTCAAAACTCTTAAGGGTGGCCAATTTAATTACCCTATCCTGTCCACAATTTTTCCAAAAGAAACAAGTTTCCACTCACATGGATACAAAACTTTGTTAATGCCATGCGAGTTTGCTTTGTACTATGATTTTAAAATTATTCTTCCATCACATTAGATAAACAAATGTTTTCACTTCCTTTTTTAAATAAACTGCATTTGACTTGGAAGTAAGTTAAGTAGGTTTTCTCAGTGAAACGATTAATTCTTTTATTCTAAGCGAAAAGGACGTTTTGGATCAAAATTAATGTTTTAGTCCTGAATTTTGATTGCTTCTCCATTGGATTGGAGCCATCAACAAAAATGAACTAGCAAACGATTTCATTTTCACCAGAGAAAAATGTGTGTGATTGAGGTTTTGACATTTTTGGTAGACTACTCTTGTCAAGTATCTCATGATCAATTGAGGTTTTACAACAAGCTTTTCCTACTGAATTCTCCACGCAATGAAAAATTAATGCTCTCAGTTTGGGTCATTATATTTTGATAGTTCTTGAAGAGTAGAGTTCTTTTGTCAAGTTACCAGCTTTTTATGTTATTTATTATTATCTTCTTTAAGGACACATGTTATAACAGATTTCAATGTTATCTTGTTAGGATTTTAATACTGAACACGTTCTCCTCTCTCGATAGTTCGTTATACATTATCGATTTAGTATCACCAAACATCTATTTTAATGCTTTAAAACTAAGAAATCCGTTCGTGAGTCTGTTATTGTCTTGATTTCCATGATTCACAATTCCGATTTCGGATCGTCCTTGATTTTTTCTACATGTTGAATTAATTTTTCTACGTGTATAGTCTCTTCGATTCATCTCAATCAAAACACTCAAGATTTTACTCTCGTCAAGAGAAAAGTTCGGTGATTTTCCTCGTTTATCTTGGATTGGGGACAATGTATAAACTTTTCCACGCATTCCACCCTTCCTTCGAAAAAGATTACTGAGAAAAGCATCATTTTCCTGAAGATCCTTTGTCGGTGACCTCAGTTTCTTTACAATATCTTTAATTCCTCGCCGCACTGTTGTATTGTAAACAGCAAACAATATGGGGCTTATAGCACAATTGCTGTGCGCTAAGAACATGCGCCAAAATCTGAAGCTACATGGAACCTTCCTGTAGGTGATTTGGGCTGTGAAGTATGTTATCCAGCAAACTAAGAACACAAGAGTAATAAGCACCATCATTTTTGCTATGTTGCGTATAGCTCTAACCCGTAATCTTTCTAAGCGAATCTCTGTGGTCCTCTCCTGCCGGGGAGTTTTACCTGTTTTGAGCTTGATAGCAACGGCTAGATACAAGACGAATATCAGCAACCATGGAATAGCATAAAACGTTATGAAAAGGAACGTGTAATATATATTTCGGGCGTCTTTATTGTTAAACGCTTCTGTAAGACTGGAACTGCAAGTTTGTCTTCCTTTCGAAATCTTGGTACGCAGGGCTATGAAGTATGGCACTCGGACGATAACAGCTAAAGTCCATGTAAGAAAGATCGCAAATTTTGCTACTTTCGTTGTGAAGGGATTTCTCAAAGGAAATGCTACGGCGCAGAAGGTGTCCAAACTCGAAGTCAGCAGAGTCAAAACTGAGGCGATAATTGCTACCGTGTGAAGGAATGGAGCAGTTTTGCATAGAACGTAACCAAAGTCTCCCTCGACGAGCCAAACAGAACCAATTAAATACATTGGGATCAGTCTCGGCATGTATACAGTGGTAATGACAAGATTTGCAATCGCCATATTCACCACGGACAAGTTGATGGTCTTTCGCTTCCTTCCATATTTGGAAACCACAGTAACAATGAAGATGTTTCCAAACAACGATGCCAATATAATTACACTGTAGGCGATTACCCGACCGAACTTGACGGAGGACTCGTCGTGGACGTAACATGCGATAGACGATGTGCTTGTAACGTTAGTGCCATTGTTGAAGGAGTCGATGGTTGAAGAGAAGTTCATTTTCTCAATCTTTAAAGCAAAATATAAACACTAGAAACTAAATAAACTGCTTCTTACGCTGCGTTTTTGTTCTTATCTAATCCGTGATGATTACTGAGTGAATAGCGATGGGTAAGTACGTGATTTTAAAATCAAACAAATACTGTAACATCTACAGCCACATAAGTATTTTGTTTCGATCAGTGATAGAAAACAAACCGATTGAAAATATCATTCTAACCTTGCATTATTATCAGATTAGCATATAGCAACGCAAAAATGTTCTGCTCGCTGTCTGATGTATATTTACCGTCGGTTAGAAAATGTTTGTTTTTGGATACTGCTAGTCTCAAGATTAATTAATGGACTTTGGCAGGGTTCCTGATAATAATTTGAAAGGAAGTTTCATAATTTTTTTTTATTCTAGGGCTTTCTATACCCTGTGTATATTTCATTCAACTGTAGATCTTACATGTAAATGTTTCTCAAAAAGTATTGATCAAAAAAAGATGAAAAAAAAAAAATACGGAAAAGATAAAAATTCAGTGCTGGTTGTATGTGATTAGAATATTTAAAAAAATAGGGGATATAAAAAATTCATGTTTGTTTCGTGTTCTTCAATTTTGGACACCCGGCTGGAACTATAAACAATTGTCTACTAGCAACGTCAGTAAATTGCTGATAGTCATTCGTTCATTCCACAACCACAGAAACATTTCAAAGAAGTTAAATACTATTCCAAGCAATTTGTTACCACAAATTAAAAATTGTTTTTAGATGTTGTTTAATTTTGGACCCCCGCTTAGAGCTATTAACAACTGTCAGATAACAACTTCAATAAATTACTAGTATTCAGTCGTTCAGTCGATAACCTGGAAGACTCTGGAAACATTTCTATAAAATCTAATGCTGTTTTAAGCAATTTCTTAGCAGAAATTAAAACAGGTTCCTTTCCAATTGAATCATTGCTCTCTCTTTTTACTTTTATTTAAGCTTATGCAAAAAAAGAAGAGGGAAGACTAGAAAAGTGACGAAACCGGATATTGCTGGCATAGAGCAAAATGATATTGTGAAATTTCATTAACTGTCGAGAAGCTCATAATTTTTTGAAATTTGAAATCATCCCTGTAAATAGTTTTCTTAGAATTCTGAATCCCTGGAAGGTTTGGAGGGATTAAACCTTACAACGGATCGCAAAAAAAAAAAAAAAAATTAACATGTGCAAACTTTACAAGGGTGACTTAAAATTCCCAAAGTTACACCTTTCTTCTGTAGAACCTGCACGTATGAAGTGTTTGATAATTTAGATAGAGAGTGATTGGTTAGACGAGGGGAAATTATGGCAAAATGGAATTACTGGTTATAGAACACAAATCCAAAACTACCAATATAATGATAATATAGTTCAAGTCTATTAAGCAGTTATTTCCTTCAGATTAAATCAACGTTAACTCATGTTAAAAACCGTGCTCTCTGTATCTCAATTTGTGAATAAAAATCTTTCAAGCACTTTCCATGGTATGATTTTTTTACCTCGTACATACTGACATTTTCTTCTTACTGACCGACAAAGATTGAACGCGAACGACTGTGAAAATACATAGTTTGCCCAGTCAGAGACACGAACGATAGAGCTTCACAGCGTAAATCTCAGTATGTATGAAAGGAAGTAAATGAATAGACAAATAAAGGTTCCCCCAACATTTCTTCGCTGGTTTCTTTGAGAGTCTGCTAGAATATAGTTGCACTCCTGCGTCGAAAGAGGTCACGTGATGGCTAAGTATCTCGCCGAAGAGCACAGCACAATAAACCTGACAGGACTCGACCCAGGCCCTCGCGAAGTCACGATCTGTGATACGGCGCGCTAAGCTTTAGCAAGTGCGTCTGAAATATTTAACGACGATGTACTCAAAACGCAATAAAATTCAAATTCTGTGTTAAGGGAATTTAAACAGGTAGTTAACACTGTAGGTGGGTAGTTTTGTGGAAGTGAGAATAACCAGTTGTTATTACGGCTCCTGTTAAGAGTATTTATTATAGACGATAAATAAGGCGATTTGCGCGAAAGTAATTGCTCAATGCTTTGTTTCTCACGCTATCGAGAGCTCTTGATTATGCTGCTGTTGCGATAAACTATCTATTCGGGAAATAATTTGGTTGTTTGTTTTTTTTTTTTTACTGCCATAAGGCTTCAGTAGTTATGCATTTTTCAAAGCTTTATCATATGACCTGGCAATTATTTTGGCTAGGGGCATTCATATGACCGGCTGCTTAGATTTTATCGTGCAATTGTAAACACTCGATCGCAACAACATCACTTTGGGTTTTTTCGGAAATTGATTCTGATGTTATGGTAAAACTCAGAATATACAGTCGATAACAGCATGTGTTGCTTTCCAAGGTGAGACACAACTTGCCATTTTGCAGGCATAAAAAATGAACAATAATGTGTGGAAGTGAAAATAGCCAGTTTTAAAGATGGCTCCTGTCAATGATATTCATTATCGATTTAGATTTGCGATTGTGTTAAAGAAATTGTGTGCGATTGTGTTAAAGAAATTACTCGGTGCTTTATTTCTCATACTGTCCAGAGCCCTTGATTATGCTGCTTCCCCTCCTTATACATTATTCAAATGTCTATCATATAACGTGACAATTATTTTGGCTGGGGGGCATTCGCATGACTGGTGGCTTGGATTTTAGCATAAAATTATAAAACACTCGCCAAAACATCACGTTGGGGTTTTCGGAAATTGAATCTCTTGTTATCGCGAACTCAGGATCAACGGTTGATAACAGCATGTGTTGTTTTCCAATGTGAGACAATTTGCCATTTTGTAGGCATAAAAAATAAACAAAAATTTATGTTAAACAACGTTTTGAGACACACGTGTATGGACCTCTTCCAGAGTTCAGCTTGTTCCAGCCACTTCTAAAATATAATTAAATTAAGAAATATTTCCAAAAAGTCAGCTTAGGGTCTTATCCTTCCCCCTAAGTGAACCCCTCGAACAGTTTTCGCGTTTTTACTTGGCGTTGAATTGCGAAATTTCCACGGGATAAAAATTTTATAAAAAACAAACACTTCACTGCTTCTTTACGTATGTTCATGCAAAAGCTCCGCATCAGGCAAAGGGTATTTTAGAATGTAAGTGGTTGGCATTCAACATAATCGACGTTAAAAAACTATGTTTTGAACTTAATCTGACTGAAAACATAACACGCGAGAGCGCGCTCGAAAAGTATTTGCTAGAAAGCCATACGCTCTGACGCCCTTATCAGTTCGATGTAAAATTGATTAGCTATTGTCCTTAGGTACCTTATTCGATAGTGTTTTCCTTCTGAATATCAGTTGTTAGTAGTGAGATCTCCACTGACGAACCAGCCATCTCAAGAGAGCCTTCCATGAACTCTGAATTCAAGCTTAATATAGAGACAGATGGGTTCTATGACCCTGAGGCTAGGGTAAATAAATACATTGAAAAACTCTAGCCAATCAACGCGAGAGATATTTCAGTCAATAAAGAACGATCTGAGAGGAGTTTGCGCAGCACTTGACGCGCAGTCAAGTCACATGAAGTTAGAAGGCACGAAAAAATATTCATGCGGTTGCTAAAAGTTATCATACTGTGCGGTTCGTGCCAAAATAAAGTTTCACGCACCGTTAAACTGAACTTAAGGAGGCTCCATGGGGTTTTTTCTCAATGTTGGTGCGCGTGCCAGCGTGCTGTTTTTCTCGGAAATGTTCATGTTTTCGATCTTCAAGGTAACTAAAAGGTTTAGACTATCGTTTACTGTAGTAAACATCATCAAAATGATTTTCATTATTATGCTAAGGCTCCAAGAAGGGAGGCGCTCGCCAGCGATAGTTTGGCTTTGCCTTTGAATTTCTTCAATTTGCTTCGGTGAAATCTCTCAAAACTTTCACAATAAAAATTATCCAGCCGATCATTTACAAGCCGAAGTTTGGGTTATCTTCCTCTATCTCAAATTTGGTCTGATAAATTAACATACCTTTTCAGATAACAATCGTGCTATGGTATCGAGTCGCCATGTTTGTTTTGCATGTTGATACTTTTAAAGCTCGTGCTATGTTCGCACCCAGATCCCGTGCGGTCAAAAAACCCTTTGGAGCATCGTAAAGTTGCCTTAAAATTATCAATATCAGCATATAGCTGACTTTATGCTGTTCATGTTCATAGCGTGGTGTTTTTGTGGTTGCTCGCCTAGACATGTATTAAACCCAGACTATCTGAAAACAATTTAACTTATGGTATTACAGCTGAATGACAGAGTTTCTCGTGAAAAAAAAAGTTTCAGTAAAAGTGCCCACAAAGAAACACGGCTGAATGTCCATAGAATGTTGAGCTAGAAACCCTTATTGGTGTTCTGAATTCGACAGAGTAGTTCCCACCAAACGCAGAAAATCCTCAAGGAAAGAGAGGTGTTCAAAACAACTTCAGAACTGCTAGATCTGTTATACTTCAAAGATGGAAATTATCTTTCAGTAGACTCGGCTCAGACTCAGTAGAAGCTGCACTTGTGAAAATTATCAGCAATGAAATGAATGTTCTGAATTTTGAGGTTCGATTCGTTTTACCTTCCGCTTGATTTCATAAACAAGACAATGAACTTCGCTCATGTAAAAAAACAAATGAAAACGTGATGCGGATGAATGCAGTCACATGCAAAGTGGCTAGTTAAGAGCATCATGCTGAATATCCTGTGAACTCACCACGTAAATGACGGGCAAAGCAGGTGGTTGGACGATGGAGGGAAGACCAAAGGGGCAGGCATAACTCGTTCATCCAATCATGGAAAAAGATCATCAGAAGTGCAAAGGAGAAGATTCAGACAAAAATTAGCTACGTCGGTAGTACTGAAGACTGGCTCATTTGAATCCGACCTGGTTTCGTGCGATTTTCCTAGTTATATGTACAACCGATTTTCCGGAAATGTCCGTCCTGGATTATTTGAATAAATCGGCTATTTGCTTTCACAGAAGCTGACAAATACTCCCTAAACAGTTCGTGCTGAGGAAGCAGATTCCCTTAGGCATTTTCAATTCAAAGAGATTTTCACACAGAGAAATGGCTGGGATTAATCTATCATTATCAAGGTTTGCGTGTCCAAAAGACTAGAGGGTTGCAGCCGGCGAAAATGTTACGTTATTCAATTCCTGTTGCGCGTTGTTTGCGCGGAAAGTAAATGATTTGTGCTTTCAGAAGAAAAGGTACATAGTTAGACCAGAAAGGGTAATTTAAATATTTAGGAGCACTCAATATTGCTGTGTCAAAGACTCTCTTAGTATCATAAAAAGCGTGGAAGTGGAAGGCCCTTGATTTTTGAGTTTATAAGGTTTTGGCTAAAAACCGAGAGAATTGATCGTATTTCCACCGTATAAGGCAAGCGTTCAACAGATAATTTTTAAACTTGACTTCCTTCTCCAATCACATTTAACACATCCGGATTTCTTTCCAGCTGGGAGCTTAGTGTCCTTTTTTTCAGTGTTTCGAAATCATATAAATGTAGAAAGCAAACATGAAAGAGATAAAAAAAAAAAAATTGCTCTGAGAGACATGTAGTGTATGTATCGCTACTGTGTATGGTACATACCACTTTTTGGTGGACACACATGAGACTTTTTGATCTTTCACTCTTGTTCCATTGAAATAAAGTAAAATATATTTATATTGTAGAAGTGGCCACTTCCGTCATAAAAGATCAAACTAAATATCCCATCTGACATCACTGTATTTTCCCTTCAATTTGGAGTTCTCAGCTACGTGTTGTTTCCGAGACAAACTGGTATGAGTAATATGGAACTCAACCGGATGAAATTTAACTTTGATATTATATCGCTGCCTAACATGATTCTATATTTGGCACAAAAAGCCATTTTGAGAAAATAAAGTTTGTCGAAGTACAAAAGTAAAAAATTGTAAAAAAATAATTTCGCAAGAGCAAATTTTGTTTTGTTGACCAAGAACTGAAACCGTAGTACTACCTTTAAAACAAATGAAAAAATGATGTAAACATTGCTTGTAACATGATTACCCCACGTGACCTTGACATACTACCACGTGACCTTTACCAGTGAGATTTGCCTGTTAACAACAGCAATTCGCGTGTCACAAAAAATATATTAAGTCAGCAATAGCTTCTGCATTGACTGTTACCGTTAAACATTCATCTCATAACCATGCAACAGATATCAAATGACCTCAAAAGCTTTTTAAAAAAATGGCTCTAGAATGCTTCTGACCTGTTTGGAAAATGATTCTTTTCTCGTAACTTGAATAAAATTGAGAAGACAGTGATTATTATTATTGTTATTATTATTATTATTATTATTATTATTATTAATATCATTATTATTCAAGACACGTCCTTTTTTGCATTTCCTCAGAATAAATAGTTTTCTCTACCATGGAAGAAATTTTCGTTCGGGCGGAAAAATTTCGGAAGCGAAAGTCATGGAGTTTCTTTAGGTCTTATCCAATTCTTTGTGCGCGAGCGAGTGCCTTCTTTTTGTTTACAGCAAGGACTTTAGATTTAAGGTTTTTTAGGTATAAGTGCCTTTCGCTACCATGCCACAGATTTCTAAATGGCAAAGAATATTGTGGGAAAGTGGTATCCCATTCATAACATGGTGTGTATTCGTGCGTAGCGCTTTATGCCTTGGAAAGCGGAGAAAAAAGCTGTGACGACAAACCAGATCAGCTTCCTTTTCTAAATGCAGAATATTAAGCGAAGTAGCTGGCTAGAATTAAACCATCAATGAAAAAAGTGAAAGGCAAACTGATATGATGATAACAAGTTAGGAATCAGGACAGAAGAAGGATAGCTAAGCGCACTAACGAGAGACAAAGTTTACCTCTAAAGAAATGCAGTTTTTCTTCAGTGGGCGAAATCCAAGGAGGAGAAATCTGTGTCCACCAAGCTGGAATGCAACAGCTGTTTCAGCAATGAATTCTTCAGATCCCGCGATATACTCTTGTTAGCTCTGCGATTAAGATCTGTCTTGAGGTGTGAATTAAAATTCAGGCGCTAAAAAGTGAATATTTAAACAAAGAGTGATAACACCCCCGTTAATGAGTATCGAATGGTAAAAACTATATTTACTATACGTAAATTCCTATCAAATGCCGGAGTTAGTTTTTATCATTTACCTACTCACGTTTGTTAGTTGCAATACTTGTAGATAGTGTGCATTTTAATTGGGCGAAAGCTTCAGTTATCACAAAGGAGCACATTGTAAAGTACCATTGATCACTCAAGGTAAGAAGAAGCAAACTTCTTGAGGAGAAGAGTTCTGAAGCGCGTGTGATCAAGTCTCGATTGTTTTTAGGTTTGTATCTAATTGTTTGAGATGCGGACTAAAGCTTTTTGACCAATCAGAATGCAGTGAAGCAAATCTTGTATAATAACTGGATACCTCCGACGCTCTCTCGAAAATTGCTCATTTTTGTGGTCACCGTTGCACTTCTGGTTTGAGGAGTTAAAAAGGAGATAATGGTGAGATAGTAAAGCGAAAGATAACCGCTTTTAACTAGACGTCCAGGGGATGATCTTTGCATTGTTAGTAAGAAGAAGTTGGCGAATAAATTGAACTTTATCTTTTTTAGTCATTAAAGAGGAAAAAAAATCAGGAAAATTTTGAAAATTTTTGGCTATTGCGGTTGTCGTAGACGCCTTTTGGGTGAAGTTCGCCCTAGCACAGATACCTTTTACGCTAACACTAAAAGGTAAATATGACTGCAATTCTGCGGCAGATGACCGCAGACCGTGGTTTAGCTCATGAAACGTGAATGATAGCGAACAAAAACACTTGAAAGAACAAAATTAGTAAATGATTTACCCCTCAGGGTCTAATTTCAATAAATAAATCATATGCCAAGCAACAGAAACTATCACAGGAAACAGCTCCCGGAAAATTTCTCGTGTATGCTGTGGCTTAACTCACTCTGTCTCTAATTATTTCCCTTTCTGAAAATTTGGCTCTCAAACATTATCAACCATAAAAGCAAAAGTATAGGAAATTTTTAAAAGGGGAGGAAATTTAACCACAATATATTGCCTTAATTCGAAGATAGGATCTGTTTGTTGAGTTCTCAATTTTCTGTTGCCGATTCCCCGTATTCTTAACCACAAGATCAATTACGTTAAAATGGAAGGCGCCATCTGTTTATTCATTCATCAGTTTCTGTTGCGAACTCACTGTACTCTTATTGAATATATCCTTCGTGAGCAATTTTTTATGTAACAAAAAATGGAAAAGGTCTTGTTATCGGTAATTCAACCCCTACTTTTATGATAATGTCGAGTACGTTAGCGCGCTTGATGTTAAGAAATTAACATTTCTTACCTTATGAAAATTAAATGTTAACATAAAGATGAACGTGAATACTGTATCCGGAATTATTATCACAGAGTGAGTTTCTAAAGAAGAAATATAATTGGCACAAATGAATAAAGGGGGTAAGTTTCTGAAGAAACGCTCTGACGAAGGGAAAACACTCGAAACGTCAGCTTTGAAACTCTTTAGGGTGGCAAATTTATGTTATCAACTCGGTTAATACTAAATTACCCGTTAAAGTCGGTACAGTCATGTTGCTCGAGCCTTTCATATCTGTAATTACCTTACCTGGGTTCTTCTTCATCAAGCTGGATGTGGTTGTACGTACTCGCCTTCGAGTGACTATCGAAAAGGGTTTCCGAATTTTTTTCCTCTTTGAATTGTCAGGTAAGTGGAAATAGCCATTATAACCATTACTATAAGAAACATTGTATACCTTCTGTATCCCAAGGACTTGCTTTGACTAATATTGGTTGGCTATCAGACAATTAATACAAACATCCTTCTTTGAGTGGGATAATTTTGCACATTTCAAACACAAGTACACACTTAACACGCGTCATCTTGGACGGAGGGAAAGCAGGTCAAATTAATAATATCTATCCATTAACATCAGGATAACCAAAATTTCTCATCGAACTCGATAATGGATGAATGAAAAGATACCTAATCCGGACAGATTAATATAGCGAGGCTCGTGTCGTCATTGTGAGCAGATGCAATATTAAGCCTTCACTTTGAGATAAAAATATGTTTTTTGATTATGTCCTTGTGTAGTGAAATGCCAAAATAAGTTTTTTGATTTGATGCAACGAGTTGTTTGTTGAATAGTTATTCGCCTCTGTTACGCTGTTTAAAGAAGGAAGGAAAGAAAGACTGCAAAGATGTAATGATAAAACTGGAAATGTTTGTAAATTTTGCAGCCTCAGAGTAATTTTAGACATTATACTCTAAATCCTGAACGTTAAATCCATGTCATTAGTAATTATTTTCAAGACGTAAATGCCGCACGCTCAAAGGGTATCGCCGGCGGAGATATAGCCTTATAAGAATAAAATTAATTAATAGACGTATCCCAATACATGAAAAATTCAAATGACTCAAATGAAATCAATATCAAGTTTAACTCACGAAGCCGAGAAATCATTTTCAACCTCATTCCTCAAAAAATTTTTTCTTCAAAATCAAGTCATTTTTATGAACTTGTTTCCACTCATGTACACTCTTTTTTAAACTGAAAGGCGAAATTTTTTTTCATCCAAAGTCCTTGCCACCAAATGACACCGTGACTAGATTGTATTATACTACCAGTTTCAAGTTTTCAAAAGACAAAAATGTCTTACAATTTTGTCATCAGTACAACCAATGTAATTGCAAATCCATTTTTAACCCTTTAACACTCACGAGTGACCAAGACGGAATTTCTCCTTACAATATCAATACAATATCAAGCAGGCAAGTGACGAGAATAAAGAAAGCTATCAATTAGAGGATTATAAGTTGATCCAATGCTAAATTCTCCGAACTAACATCATAATAATTGTGAGACAGACGCCAAAAAGAATTACCAATGTGATCCTGGCGGAGAAAGGGTCAAGCATCCGTACTTCATATAACCTATAGCTATCTATCCACTTATGAAGTGAAGTTCCTTTGTCTTCCGTTGCGCGATCTGCACGAATCACCTGAAGAGCTTTCTGTCTCTAGTCTATAAAAGTGAGGCGGTGTGACGAATGTCCAATCTTTTTCCTATCCTACGCCTCCTTTAATAAATATGAGTATTAAGTAATCTCTTGCAGTTCCCGAGAAAGATTTCCGTAATTAGGTCCTGGTAGGATTCCTTGTGAATTTTAATCATTTCTGTTCTGTTTTCTGTTACCACGAGCAAAATGATCCTTAATCCGCGCCGCTAGCCTTTAAGGGTGACACTGAGCATCTAATTTCCCCTTAAAATATCACCCCTGAGTCAAACTTTGAGGTCATGAGAATACAGGGAATGATCACCAACACTCTCGATTTGTAAACAAATTCTCCTTGTCAGTACCTTAGGAAATGAACAGAGAACAGTATAGAGAGTTTGCATACTGATGTTAGGTTGTAAAGGGCTTATTTGTCAGTTTAGTTCAGTCTTGTCAAAACACCTTGGCATTGTTTCAGTTTGCTGACTTCTGTTGCCTATATCTCCTGTTGTTCCTTCTTCAGTAAAAGAGGTATCCTAAGTGTCTATCTTTTCCCTTTCTTTTCGTTGAGCATTAATTTTCACTAATAATTCCCCGGTAATTTGCACTGAGTGGCTCTGATTAGTCTCTTTGAACGAGAGTGGAAAGACTCTTTGACTCGCGATCAAACGATCCTTGCTGATTGTTGTCACCGTTCGTAACTGATTCACTGCGAATATTGTTAAAAATTTCACAGCGAAGAATTCTTTAAAACTCTCTCCTGAAAAACGGACTCATCCTTGTATAAATGAAAGGATGAATGTTGTTTGACAAATTCAAGAACAATGCATCACGGCATTTCTCCCGCAAGACTTGCCAAGATGGTAATGATCCAGGCAAGAGCTCAACCCAAATATTACAACGAATAACGACCCGCTATTTTGGATTGAATGTGGGCTAACACTGGCTTCCCTTTTCTAGCAGTGTTAGCCTAACGCGTTACAATTTACACAGTGAGCTCTGTGTGGTGCTTTAAGCAAGGGGAATGGCTCCTTGACTAAATCCCTTTTGATGGTCTTCGCCTTTCGAGCCTGATTCATTGCGAATTCTGTCGAAAAAAAATAAACAGTGAAGGATAACATTAAACTCTCGCCTAAACAAACAACGAATTCATACCAGCGTAAATGAAAGGATTAACGGTGTTGGACAAATTCACGAAGAAAGCGCACAACAGTTGAACATTGCAAGGTACTTTTCCCACAAAACGTGTCATGATGGTAATGACCCAAGCGGGAACCCAGCATATCATGAACGCAAATACTACGACGAATAATGACTTGCTTATCTGAATTTCATGTGCGCTGACGTCGGCATTTCGTCTTTGACCGGACTCCATGATGATCAAAGCTTCGTTTCGTGATTGATTAAATATGTTGCCGACGTTTCTTCAGCTGATGCTGATTTACGTGGCGTATTTTTCTCCTTCGCCAGTTCCTGATGAGCTTGTGAAGAATACAAGGTATACTACGGTAGTTTCAACCAAATGTTCCAAATAACTCGTAAGTCGATGGGACTGAATGAAATATCCGCGCGCTAACTTTCTCAAAACAAAAGATTACTAGTATAAATGGTTTGGTAAATAAGACAAGAAACTGCCATAATCTTAAGAATACCTTGACTGTCTCAAACAGTTGGGAGAAAATTTGACTCACCGTAGAGACAGATATCAGTTCTTTTATAAGTTGTAAAGAGAGCTTCCTCACAATGATGACAGTAAGAATGTGCTATTCATGAAATACAATAAAGAAAGAAATTGTGTATTGGAAATTTGGCTGAAGAATTTGAGATGGGGTTTCGCACTTTACTATTGACGGCTGTAACACGCATTGCTAATGGTAAGACGTACACAAAAATTAGTTAAAAAGTGTGTGCATTCGGGAAATTATATCACCAAATGGTTGTCTTCCTGTAATAAGCAATCCTGACGCCAAGAACGCTATTACTAAAATTGTTATTCTCACGAAATATATGTACAATGATCTCAAGTTACCAAACGCCGTCACGTATCTAATATCGTAATTCGATTTAGGACTTTTCGGTTCTGATTGCGGTGAGAAACGTGGGCAGGTGGCTGTCTCAGAGGTTTGCTTTCGACCTCAGTTCGTAAATTTAAAGTTGAGATATGAAGATCATTAACTGTTATCTCTGTACAAATTAAAAACAACTTAGCAATTGCTGACCAGCAATGGTTAAGGATACAAGTAACTGTGATGCTTTTTTAAAGAGAGGTATAAGTTAATACGAAACTTCACAATGATGACATCTGTTACCCTCGAAAGTATTAATTAATGTATTTTACACGGCCTGTGGCATGATTGTATACTTTCACGCCTATGATATTTCGTTCCTGAAAATCGATTTCCTCACTTAACGATTACGTACTTTTTGTTGTGATTTTTATTTTCGTTGATCCTTCATGTTAACGTCCAGGACGAAACTGGCGCCCAGTAATTTACAAGGTGTGGTGCTGTGTGGTGTTTTGAGCAAAGGCGACGGTTCTTTGAGTCGATCCCTGTTGATTGTAATCGGCGTTCGAGCCCGATTCATTGCGAATTTTATTGCAGTATGCACAGGGGAGTATTCTTTTGAACTCTAACCTAAACAAAGGATTCATTCCGGCGTAAATGAAAGGATTAATGGCGTTTGACAAATTTACGAAGAAAGCGCACAACAGTTGAACATTGCGAGGTACTTTTCCCACAAAGCGTGCCAGGATGGTAATCAACCAAGCGGGAACCCAGCATAACATGAAGGCAAATACTACGACGAATAAAGACTTGCTTATTCGGATTTCATGTGCGCTGAAATGGGCATCCCGTCTTTGACTTTGATGGGTCATCGCTAAATTGATGTTGTGTTCCTGGATCTTTCTGGAGACTTTTCTGTAGCTGAAAATCGTGACCGCCAGGGAAAGAAGGAAAAACAAGCCAACGACCACAAAATAATGAGCTATCTTGCTAGATGCAGCCAGATGTTGGCTCAAGCACGAAGCATACTCTGGCACAAATTGAAAGCCTTGTAGACCAGCCAAGCGAGGAACCAGGATGTAACCAGCAATTAAGCTCCATCCAAAGGCCAGCACAAGACGGGATTTTATTGGGGAGAAGAACCGTTTATACTCCATATCTGACTTGCATATTCTCATGTATCTGTTAGCTGCTGTCAAACCCATCGTCACAGGTGAAACGTACACAACAAATAGGCTGAAAAAGGCATTTACCTGGCAAAGTACTTTACCAAAGGGCCATCTTCCTGAAATAAGCACTCCGGCTGCAAACGGCATGACGAAAATGGCGCTCAAAAGATCGCTGATAGCCAATGCGGTGATATAAATATTAGTGGCAGTGCGGAGTCTTGTATTCCTGTACACGGCTATACACACCATGATATTGCCTCCCAGAGACAGAATATTCAGTGCGATCATAAAGCTGGACTCCATGATGATCAAAGCTTCATTTCGTGATTGAAGATCTGCCATTTTATTCCGATATTTAAATATGTTGCCGAAGTTCCTTCAACTGATGTTGATATGTGTGGCGTATTTTTCTCCTTCGCCAGTTCCTGATGAGCTTGTGAAGAATATAATGTATGCTACGGTGGTTTCAACCAAATGTTCCAAATCACTCGTACGTCGATGGGACTGAATGAAATATCCGCGCGCTAACTTTCTCAATACAAAAGATTACTAGTATAAATGGTTTGGTAAATAAGACAAGAAGCTGCCTTAATCTTAAGAATACCTTGACTTTCTCAAACAGTTGGGAGAAAATTTGACTCACCGTAGGGACAGAAATCAGTTCTTTTATAAGTTGTAAAGAGAGCTTCCTCAGAATGATGACAGTAAGAGTGTGCTATTCACGAAATACAATAAAGAAAGAAATTGATGCAGAAACAGAAAGCACCAATTAAGAAAGTTTGAGACGTTTCCGAGGAACACTTTTGTGTAATGGTGATAAATCGACACGTGTACATTCTCTGATGTGCATTACATTCTCATCAATGAGAATTTGACTTAAGCACTAATGATTATAATTACGTTCAATCGCTAGAAATATCAACCTCTATCCCTTAATGATAGCCATTCCCTTCATTATTAATCATTCTCAGAATCTCCTCCATTTCCGACCTTCAAAAAGCTAATTGATGACATCTTTTGTGCGTTGTAGATCGCGTTGGTTTTATGACCAATTTTACACCTACTTCTCAGAGACACTTACCGTGCAAGATAATGAAGCCCAATTTGCTTGTGTCTCATCAGAATCCCTACAATGAATACACGGAATGAGCGATTTAAAAATGGAGAGACATCTTCCTTTCTATTTGACCTCTCAGGTTTGTTATAAATCACACATTAAAAAGATTTCATTAAAATAATTCTAGAACAGCTAATGATGATTATTTTGCGAGATATAAGGAATTGCAGATCCATTTTTTACGCTTCCGTGTTGTAACCCATTGCTTTTGACACATAGGTTTAATCCCATGTCTCTCAACAATGTCTCTTAGATAGCTGGTTTATATGTGAGACCTCGTATTATCTCCAACAGTGCTAATGATTCTATTTTGAGAACAATAAAGGTGCTGTAAATCGTTTGTTTATCGTCTTTGGGCAACTGCCTTACTGTCATTTGTAAATATTTCTAAAGCCAAGTTTTGAAGCAATTTTTTTCTGTAACAGATTACAACTTCGTCCTGTCTGCAGTTTCCCTCTATCGCTATCGTGTCTGCATAAAAGTAAAAGGTTCATCTATCTCTAAAGAACAAGTTAGCGAATTTTTTTCAATCTTTTCCTCCTTCCACCAAAACGAGTCTAAGCAGAATCCATACTGAGGATTATAATACCGAAGTCTTCAAAGCTAGGATTCAAGGTACTCATATAAGCTTAATTTGATTAATCAAAACAAATAACGATCACTGTTAAGAAGAAAGAACTTAAGCGAGCGTGTAGAGTACGAGTCTACAGTGCTGAAATGTAGTGTATTGGAAATTTGGCTGAAGAATTTGAGTTGGGGTTTCGCACTTTACTATTGACGGCTGTAACACGCATTGCTAATGTGAGACGTACACAACAATTAGTTAAAAAGTGTGTGCATTTGGGAAATTATATCACCAAAGGGTTGTCTTTGTATTAGAGTATCTAATTATAAAGATCTTGGAGTTATTATGGCGAGTGATCTGAAATGGTCAAAACATGTTGAACAAATAGTTCACAAAGCAAATAGGGTTCTTGGCCTACTTAAGCGCACAGTAGGCGGCAAAAATAAAAATATTTTCTCAAATTTGTACAAAACCTTGGTTCGTCCAATCTTGGAGTACGCTTGCCCGGTGTGGTCACCACACCTAGCCAAAGACATCCATGAAATTGAGAAGATACAAAGAAGAGCTTCGAGAATCGCTTTAAACCAAAGAAGACAAGAGATGGCGTACGAGGAGAGGTGTAAAATTCTTAAATGGAACTCTTTAGAACAAAGGAGAGATTTTCTTTCCCTGGTGGAATGTTATAAAATCGTATTCAATCTGAATGGATTAAATTTCAGCGATTATTTTGAACTGTGCAGGAACACTAAGTCGAGATCTAACCATCCATATAAGTTACAAACCAAACTCGCAAAATTGAATGGTTATAAAAATTCTTTCTTTGTCAGAATTATCAAACATTGGAACGATCTTCCTATTAATGTATTTAATTTTCGTGACTGCCCTAACGTTAGTAAGTTTAAATTAAGATTGAAGAATTATATGAATGTTTATTGAATGGCCATTTTATATTTATTTATGATACTTATCTGTTTTTCACTTGACTTTTTTATATTTTTAGTACTTGTTTTTGTATAGTGACCTTAAATAATTTTATATATTTTTTTATTCTTTAGGAGACCCTTGATATAGGGCTAACCTCTGGGTTTCCTTTTTCTTAATAACTACGTTTTAGTATGTTATTCTGAAATAAAGTATAAAGTATTGTATTCCTGTAATAAGCATTCCTGACGCCAAGAACGCTATTACTAAAATTGTTATTCTCACGAAATATGTGTACAATGATCTCAAGTTACCAAACGCCGTCACGTATCTAATATCGTAATTCGATTTAGAACTTTTCGGTTCTGATTGCGGTGAGAAACGTGAGCAGGTGGCTGTCTCAGAGGTTTGCTTTCGACCTCAGTTCGTAAATTTAGAGTTGAGATATGAAGGTCATTAACTGTTATTTCTGTACAAATTTACAACAGCTCAGCAATTGCTGACAAGCAATAGCCTTAAGGATACAAGTAACTGTGATGCTTTTAACAGAGAGGTATACGTTAATACGAAACTTCACAATGATGACATCTGTTATCCTCGAAAGTATTAACCACTGTAATTTTACACGGCCTGTGGCATGATTGTATACTTTCACGCCTATGATATTTCGTTCTTTAAAATCGAATTCCTCACCTAACGATTGCGTACTTCTTGTTTTGATTTTATTTAGTTCATTATCACGCCCAAGACGGAAATGGCGCCAAGTAATTTACAAGGTGTGGTGCTGTGTGGTGTTTTGAGCAAAGGCGACGGTTCTTTGAGTCGATCCCTGTTGATTGAAATCGGCGTTCGAGCCCGATTCATTGCGAATTTTATTGTAGTATGCACAGAGGAGTATTCTTTTGAACTCTAACCTAAACAACGGATTCATTCCGGCGTAAATGAAAGGATTAATGGCGTTTGACAAATTTACGAAGAAAGCGCACAACAGTTGAACATTGCGAGGTACTTTTCCCACAAAGCGTGCCAGGATGGTAATCAACCAAGCGGGAACCCAGCATAACATGAAGGTAAATACTACGACGAATAAAGACTTGCTTATTCGGATTTCATGTGCGCTGAAATGGGCATCCCGTCTTTGACTTTGATGGGTCATCGCTATATTGATGTTGTGTTCCTGGATCTTTCTGGAGACTCTTCGGTAACTGAAAATCGTCACCGCCAGGGGAAGAAGGAAAAACAAGCCAACGACCACAAAATAATGAGCTATCTTGCTAGATGCAGCCAGATGTTGGCTCAAGCACGAAGCATACTCTGGCACAAATTGAAAGCCTTGTAGACCAGCCAAGCGAGGAACCAGGATGTAACCAGCAATTAAGCTCCATCCAAAGGCCAGCACAAGACGGGATTTTATTGGGGAGAAGAACCGTTTATACTCCATATCTGACTTGCATATTCTCATGTATCTGTTAGCTGCTGTCAAACCCATCGTCACAGGTGAAACGTACACAGCAAATAGGCTGAAAAAGGCATTTACCTGGCAAAGTACTTTACCAAAGGGCCATCTTCCTGAAATGAGCACTCCGGCTGCAAACGGCATGACGAAAATGGCGCTCAAAAGATCGCTGATAGCCAATGCGGTGATATAAATATTAGTGGTAGTGCGGAGTCTTGTATTCCTGTACACGGCTATACACACCATGATATTGCCTCCCAGAGACAGAATATTCAGTGCGATCATAAAGCCGGACTCCATGATGATCAAAGCTTCATTTCGTGATTGAAGATCTGCCATTTTATTCCGATATTTAAATATGTTGCCGAAGTTCCTTCAACTGATGTTGATATGTGTGGCGTATTTTCTCCTTCGCCAGTTCCTGATGAGCTTGTGAAGAATACAATGTATGCTACGGTAGTTTCAACCAAATGTTCCAAATCACTCGTACGTCGATGGGACTGAATGAAATATCCGCGCGCTAACTTTCTCAATACAAAAGATTACTAGTATAAATTAAATGGTTTGGTAAATAAGACAAGAAGCTGCCTTAATCTTAAGAATACCTTGACTTTCTCAAACAGTTGGGAGAAAATTTGACTCACCGTAGGGACAGAAATCAGTTCTTTTATAAGTTGTAAAGGGAGCTTCCTCAGAATGATGACAGTAAGAGTGTGCTATTCACGAAATACAATAAAGAAAGAAATTGATGCAGAAACAGAAAGCACCAATTAAGAAAGTTTGAGACGTTTCCGAGGAATACTTTTGTGTAATGGTGATAAATCGACACGCTTACATTCTCTGATGTGCATGACATTCTAATCAATGAGAATTTGACTTAAGCACTAATGATTATAATTACGTTCAAGCGTTAGAAATATCAACCTCTATCCCTTAATGATAGCCATTCCCTTCATTATTAATCATTCTCAGAATCTCCTCCATTTCCGACCTGAAAAAGCTAATTGATGACATCTTTTGTGCGTTGTAGATCGCGTTGGTTTTATGACCAATTTTACACCTACTTCTCAGAGACACTTACCGTGCAAGATAATGAAGCCCAATTTGCTTGTGTCTCATCAGAATCCCTACAATGAATACACGGAATGAGCGATTTAAAAATGGAGAGACATCTTCCTTTCTATTTGACCTCTCAGGTTTGTTATAAATCCCACATTAAGGAGATTTCATTAAAATAATTCTAGAACAGCTAATGATGATTATTTTGCGAGATATAAGGAATTGCAGATCCATTTTTTACGCTTCCGTGTTGTAACCCATTGCTTTTGACACATAGGTTTAATCCCATGTCTCTCAACAATGTCTCTTAGATAGCTGGTTTATATGTGAGACCTCGTATTATCTCCAACAGTGCTAATGATTCTATTTTGAGAACAATAAAGGTGCTGTAAATCGTTTGAATATTGTCTTTGGGCAACTGCCTTACTGTCATTTGTAAATATTTTTAAAGCCAAGTTTTGAAGCAAAACGTTCATTTATCTTTTAAGAACAAGTTAGCGAATTTTTTTCAATCTTTTCCTCCTTCCACCAAAACGAGTCTAAGCAGAATCCATACTGAGGATTATAACACCGAAGTCTTTAAATCTAGGATTCAAGGTACTCATATAAGCTCGGTTTGATTAACTAAAACAAATAGCAATCACTTTTAAGAAGAAAGAACTCAAGCGAGCGTGTAGAGTGGTCCTTACCAAGGAGTGTACAGTGCTGAAATGTAGTGTATTGGAATTTGGCTGAGAAATTTGAGATAGGGTCTCACACTTTACTATTGACTGCTGTAACACGCATTGCTAATGATGAGACGTACACAACAAGTAGTTAAAAGGTGTGTGCATCTGGGAAATTATATCACCTAAGGGTTGTTTTCCTGCAATAAGCACTCCTGACGCCAAGAACGCTTTTATTAAAATTGTTATTCTCACGGAATATATGTACAATGCTCTCAAGTTACCAAAGGACGTCATTCGATTTAGAACTTTTCGGTTCTGATTGCGGTGAGAAACATGAGCAGGTGGCTGTCTCAGAGGTTTGCTTTTGACTTTAGATCGTAAATTTAAAGTTGAGATATGAAGATCATCAACTGTTATTTCTGCACAAATTTACAACAGCTCAGCAATTGTTGACCAGCTATAGCTTTAAGGATACAAGTAACTGTGATGCTTTTAAAAGGGAGGTATACGTTATTACGAAACTTCACAATGATGACATTTATTACCCTCGAAAGTAATAATCAGTGTACTTTTATACGGCCTGTGGCATGATTGTATAGTTTCACGCTCATGATACTTCGTTCTTTAAAATCGACTTCCTTGCCTAACAATTACGTACTTTTTGTTTTTGATTTTTATTTTCGTCGATTTTTCATGTGTTAACGTCAAGGACGAAACTGGCGCCTAGTAATTTGCAAGGTGTGGTGCTTTCAACAAGGGCGACGGTTCTTTGACTCGATCCCTGTTGATTGTAATCGGCGTTCGAGCCCGATTCATTGCGAATTTTTTTGTAGTATGCACAATGGAGTATTCTTGTGAACTCTAACCTAAACAACGGATTCATTCCGGCGTAAATGAAAGGATTAATGGCGTTTGACAAATTTACAAAGAAAGCACACAACAGTTGAATATTGCGACGTACTTTTCCCACAAAGTGTGCCAGGATGGTAATCAACCAAGCAGGAACCCAGCATAACATGAAGGCAAATACTACGACGAATAATGACTTGCTTATTCGGATTTCATGTGCGCTGAAATGGGCATCCCGTCTTTGACTTTGATGGGTCATCGCTAAATTAATGTTGTGTTCCTGGATTTTTCTGGAGACTTTTCTGTAGCTGAAAATCGTCACCGCCAGGGGAAGAAGGAAAAACAAGCCAACGATCACAAAAAAATGAGCTATTTTGTTAGATGCAGCCAGCTGTTGACTCAAGCACGCGGCATACTCTGGCACAAATTGAAAACGTTGTACACCAGCCAAGCGAGGAACTAGTATGTAACAAGCAATTAAGCTCCATCCAAAGGCCAGCACGAGGCAGGATTTTATTGGGGAGAAGAACCGTTTATACTCCATATCTGACTTGCATATTCTCATGTATCTGTTAACTGCTGTCAAACCCATCGTCACAGGTGAAACGTACACAGCAAATAGGCTGAAAAAGGCATTTACCTGGCAAAGTACTTTACCAAAGGGCCATTTTCCTGAAATGAGCACTCCGGTTGCAAACGGCATGACGAAAATGGCGCTCAAAAGATCGCTGATAGCCAAAGCAATGATGTAAATGTTAGTGGTAGAACGCAGTCTTGTATTCCTATACACGGCTATACACACCATGATGTTGCCTCCCAGAGACATAATATTCAGCGCAATCATAAAGCCGGACTCCACGATGGTCAAAGCTACACTGCGTGATGGTAGATCAGCCATTTTATTTGGAGTGTTATCGTTATTGCCGCAACTTTTGCTTTTCTTCTATTATTTCAGTTGATGAGACGAATGCTTGTCCTAAGCTGGTTTCTAATGGGCTTGTGTCAAATGAAAGTATATTGGTTCCCACCAATTTTCTGAGGTAATCTTCGTTCAAATGGTTTCCAAAAATGAAAGGTGTTGATTGTAGCTGTAAAGCAAAAATGGAAGGCCTTATGTTAATTATACCTTTTAAGCTTCGTGGGCAGTTGGAGGAGCGTTTGACTCACCGGTGATGCTCAATATGACTAACTTCCTGCCAAGCATAAGATCTCGGTTTTGTTATTTTCAGGTGCCACATTCTCAAGTAAATTAATCATCTCGTGGGCGTAAAAACCAAACAGAACCAATGAATTTATTGACAGGCGCCACTGATCCTTCAAAGTAAAACAGGTGACCAACCGTGGATTGTTTTTAGCTTGTCTCTGTCCATTAAGACGTTGGCGCAAGTTTTCTACACCATTCATAAGGAGCGATGAAGTAAAACAATGCAATATTAGACCGAATACTTTCGACGCTTTCTAGAAAAAGTACACTATCCTTTTTGTAGCCAGCAATATCTCTAGCTTAGGAAATTCAATATGGTTATTGTATAAGAGAGAAAGGTACTCGATTTTATTTGCACGTCGAGAAGATGATTT